TATGTACAGAAATGATGAAAAGAAATTGATGCTAAATAATGTATGACAGAAATTAGAACTCAATGAATAAATAAGTGAAGTATTTCCCTGTAATTGAAGTTGTCTACTCAAAATCAAGGGATCTTCATTCTCAGCAAAAGTATATTCATAACTTATTGAGAGATACTAGTAACTAACATGTAAACCAGCTAGAAGATACATAGTAGATAAGAAGATGCACCAAAAATCAGTTGGTAGATTGATATACATGTCCCACATGAGACCAAACATTACGTACACAGTAAGTGTTACAAGTCATTTCATACACAACCTTAAAGAATGTAGGTACAGGTAGTCTATATAATACTGCATTACCTAAAAAGGTCAATTGGGAAAGAGATAGTTCAAGAGAAGAATGATAAATTGCTTCTAGAAGCCTAGACAGGTGATATTATGTGGAGTCAATTGTGAACAGAAGATTTATCACAAGTTATTGTTCCTTCTTGGGATAACCTACTTACCTGTAGGATTAAGAAACAAAATGTAATTATTAAATAAAGTGCAGAACCAGAATTCCAAATAATGGCCTAAGGGATATGTGAATTACTATAAACAAAAAGAATTTTGAAAGATCTAATAATCAAGTGGGAAACCTCTTCATCTATATTGTGACAACAAGCTAGTCGTAAGCATTACACACAATCTAATAGAACATGACCAGACCAAACATATCGAGATCGGTAGATATTTTATCAAAGAGAAACTTAACAATGACCTAATATATACTTCATACATGCTTGTTAGTTCACAACTAACAGATATATTAGCTAAAGGTTTAAGCAGTCCAACATTCTAAACTCTCATTAGCAAGCTAGAGATGGACAATAAGTGTATTTATTCTCTAACTTGAGGGAGAATGTTAAAATAAGTGTATTTTATATACATTAGGTTAAAGGTACAAGAATAAAATACCTCTCATGTACTTAATCGTAATTAGTTATCTATTTTCTTTTCTGTTCTAGAAAATCTATATATATAGTGTTTTGATATTCAATAAAAACATATCAAACAATTCTTAACATAAAGAAATACTTTTTCCACATTCAAATCCGAAATTATATACCTCTTTGTTGCCTGGATCTAATGCATTCAACATTTCTGCAAGGACATCCATAATACCCCTTGCATTCTGAATTTCGGTCAAACTACAGAAAATAAAATTCCGTTGAAATAATGGATAAATTATCAGTAATCACTATGTAGAAAGATATAGCCAAAAATTGAGTCATGGATATGTAACCTAACATCAGCACCAGATCACAAGTAGTTTATGCCTATTCTAAAATAAATTACTTCTCTAATCCATGGTAAGTTCTTTTTCTCTTCTCATATGGAATTACATCAGAACCATTCATGAAAAGACCAACCATTATAATATCTCATAAATTTAGGAGAAGAGAAGGGTTAAATATTTATCATTAAGAAATTTGATTGTCCCTAAAGATATTACATTCTTGAATTCTAAAAATTATTGAATTTACAATCTTTCCAGTCACTTTTTTTGGAATAAAGAAAAAATATTATTAGAGAGAGAAAAGAGGAGTTTATCAGGGTGAATAAGAAATCCTCCCAACAAAAGGAAAAGAAAGAGGAAAGAGGAAAAGAGAAAATAAAAATCAATACAGAACCACTGACCAATCTTTTTGCAAAATAACCAAAGTATCCCTATAATGGTAATTTGCTTACATTAAAGCTACACCAAAAACACCATCATAATTCACAGTAGCAGAAGAGGCCTAGAAAAAAGCCTCTAAAGTCCTAAAATTTCTCTCCAACCACAAAAAACACAACCCAAGAAAAAGAGCTCTTACAGAAATCAGCCTGGCTTCCTTGTTCTTTCCAAACCACAAAGTGAAGAAGAGAAAACCCTAAAAGAGGGGAATGGAAGTTTGGAACCACTGATATTAAGATTTCTAGAAATTTGATGCTTGAAAATTTTGACGATTGATTATAAATTTTACTTTATAAATTTAACAGAAAATATTTTTTAGATTATTAAATTGGAAATATGTCTATTGGATTTAAAAGTCCTAGATTTAAAAAAACAGAAAATCAGAAGAGCACATCCCAAATTGCTTCTTCGTGCTGTGAACTTACAATACATCCTACCCTCAACCATTTACTTTTTTCATACACTAGCATGTTGAAAAGAACAAGAATAATTATATACAGACCCATAAGTTACGTTTTCAATCACTCCATTTCCCATTTAGAAATCAGTTGCATGCAAATCATGCAATTTAACAAAATGTAACATATTATTACTCTAATTCATTACCAGACCCCAACTGGAGGCAAATAAAGAAAAGTCAAAATGCATAATCAAAACAATGTCAAAGAAAATTGCACAAAAACAGAAAGAACTCTATGCAATCAGATTCTTGCAATTAATGTATCCAAACTTATCTCTGCAGTCACTAGAAGCCAATCAAGATAACACAATCAAAGTAAGTGGCTACATTGGTGAACAGACTATAAGCTTACTTCCATCTAAAGGGCAAATCATGTGTAAAAGAAATACCTCAATGATGGAAACTCTGACTCGGCAGAAGACTCAGCAACCTCTTGCCTAATTTCAGGATTGCGAAGATTTTGAGGATAAGAAGCCAAAGGCTGTGTTTGTGGGGGAGTGAATACAGGTGCAGACCTCTCTGATCTCTGAGGGAATACTGCTCCAGCACGCTGAAAGAGATAGGAATTTTCACTCAGTCTGAGATGATTACTCATTGGGAGAAAAGATAAATGCCATAAGACATGTTGTCTCATAAACTAAGATGTTCCTCCAACTGGGAAAAAGGGAGCAGTCTCAAAATACGTACCAATAACTCCTGGTATGCAGCATAATATTGTGGATATCTAGCCCTTGGTCCCCCAAATGCCTCTTGCCATGTATCTATCAGAATTAATATCTTCTCTTTGACATGGAGATCAGGCTACAATTAAGCAGTATGGAAACAAATGATAAAGTTTCAGGGAAAAAAGATAGCAAAACAGGGACATGTTGATACTACTAAACAAAAAGTGTTACCTTCTTTTTAACTATTTTCACCATCTCATGAAGAACATCCCTCTCTGCTACATGCATATGGACAATGTCCCCACAATTCTTTATGATTGTCTCCAATAGCTAGATTATAGAAACCACACCAAAACGTAAACGGATTAAATACTCTGAAAAAAAAATGTTTTTTTTTTCTTGTTACATAAAGATCCAAGGAGAGATAAGAAGTAAAAATTATAGCTATATTGGGGGATAGGAGCCAACTGAAACAATTCAACAAATTTTCAAGCATGTCCAAGTCATTATTAATTCTGTAGTGCAATTGCACAAACCAGTTGTGAAAGACTAGCATGATTTGACACTATACTCATCATCTCCCAAAAACAAAAAAAAAAGATAACATAATACCCCTTCTATTAGATATTAAGACCTGTTCCACACAATCAGATCCATGCTACACACCTTGTAGTCATGGTTACAAAATTTCAGGAAATTTTTTAGCAACATGAGTAAATGTTCCAAAGACAAGGTACACCATGAGAGAGAGAGAAAGAATTAACAGTAGAAAGATTCTACAGCCATCAACTGGAAAAATAAAATAAAAGAAAGAAACAGTCATATCAAAAAAAGAAGGTAAAAGATATAGACTTTATATTCTACTGCAACTCCAGAAAAGGAAAAGAAAGCAGAAACACTAAGTCATATAAGATATTGGTCCTTCCAGAATTTTAATCCTACCATCACAAGCAACAGAAACGCCAATAGCCCCTTTCATTAATGGAGTTGTTTTAAGATAATCAAAAGCTTAAGGCTACCTAAAATTTGTGAGATGCATACAGCTCTGCTTCACCCTTAATAATCCCGTACTGATTTAGTTCACTCAAAAAACCTAAAATGAAAGAACATACTCAGGTAAATAGCTAACAACTATTCTACCCCCTTCAACTAAAAAAAAAAAAGACAACAAACGACATCATGTTGTAACTGAATGCATCCAATAGAACTTTCCTACAAGAGCTTCTGAAATAATTTGATGAATAGTAAAAGGCCTCCCTAACGCACCCAACTTATGGATTGACAAAACCATTCTAGTCTCAAAAGCAGCCACCATTCCTCTTTTAAGAACATTTCTAAAAGAACTGAAAATAGAAACTAATACTTGATACAGGAACCTGGCTTTCCAAGAGCTCATCTCATTGTCTCTATTAGTGACAGTCTTACACAGAATGACGCTGGAGCAAAGAGATTAGAAAAACTAATTTCACATTAAATTAAGGTCACAGCTAATATAATAATTAGTGTAAATATACTGGATTCTAGAGTAGTATCTGTTTATTCGAGCTTCTACTTCTGCTATTGCTTTCAGAAAGTACAAGCTTCAATCAAAAGCCAAGAGCATAACCATTTTTAAGTAAAAGTACAATTTATTTTTGGCTTTTAAAAGAGGAGAGATCAAAACAATAGATGCTTTTGAAATATAGTTTATGCTGAAAAATGTGAATAATATTTTTAGAGTATATTTATTAATTTTACATTCCACTAATTTAGTAAAATCCAATAATTTTAAAATATAAATATAAAATCAACTCAGGAATTATTAAGTTTATATTTATTATAAAATAATTTAAGTTAAATAATTATGATTAATAAATATTTATACTGAAGAAAATAAATAAAATAATTCCATTAAAAATAACTTAAATTATTTGAAATTTTTAAAAAATTATTTGTTAATTAAAAATAATTTAAATTACTCAAATTTTTAAAAAATTATTTAGTATCATTTAAGTAATTTTAACTATTTTTCATTGTATTTAGTTTTTTATCATTGAAATATTTATTACTAATTTTATAACATAATTAATTAAACATATTATCACATTTTAAATTGACAGCAAATTTTACCAAACACAATACTGATTTTACAAAAAAGTTGCTTTTCATAAACGTCATTTTACAAAAATACTCTTTCTCTTTTATCTCAAAAAAATAAATAAATAAACGTCATTTTACAACATTTTTACCAATGAACAGCACAAACACTAGCAGAGCCACATTGGCTCCTTACTTAAGAGTTTGTTAACTTGTTATATTTTAATTATTTATTAGGATTAAGATTTGTTTTGCTTTTCTAATTAGGAATATTATAAAAGTATCTATTACTTTCCTAGTCATCATATGATTAGATTTGTAAATTTCATAAACATCTTGCAGTAAAGAAACAAATTAGATTGAACAAACAGAAAATTCTAGAGAATTTCTCTCTAATTTCTGGGAAAACCCGAATGTACATTTCAGTTCATCTGAATTTTAATCCCTTTCCACCAAAATCGCCCCTTTTTTCCTCCAAATTACAAATGCATCAACTTTTCTCCAGGACTAAATAAACAAGTTTAGATAGCTAAAAGAAAATGAAACATTACTACATTATATCTCCAGTCAAAGACTAACTCCTTTCCACCAAAAATTTTGAGCCCAAGGAAGTCAACTATAGCAGTTAATAAGAGAGTTAAAGCAGACAACGAGTCTACTTGTTATGGACAGGTTTACAAATGTTTTAAACGTGCCAAAAAGAAAATTTTCCTAGTTTTATGTTGCCGAAAATTTTCTATTATGTTCAGGATTATGAAAGTACTTTTGTAACTCCCCGTATTTGAGATGTACCCATTTAATTTCGAGTTTATAAAAAATATTTTCGTTTGTTTAATTTCATAAATTTCTATTCATTTTTTTTTTCCTATTCTATTGTGGAACGAGTAAATAAAATTAATTCTCACAAAAGTACAAAAAAAATAATTAAGAGAATTTGTTTTGAACCTTTTTGAAAATAATGTCAGAAATCTGAGCACAACTGTAATATAGGGGAGATCTATTTGAAAAGAAATTTAGAAAACAAGGGTCAACTTGCAAAAAAAGAAAAAACGGGCCACCTCGGCAGCATGATGAACCACAGCACGCCACGTGGCAGCCACATCAGCATGCGTTTCCACACGGGAAGCTAGGTGGGCGATCCGTGTGCTAAACAGATTGAACGGCCCACATCTATTCCCGCTCGCATGAACAGCCAGATCTCAATCCCGCCCGGATTCGAATGAACGGCCCCGATCGCCCACGTGATGGATCCAACGGTCATACGATCAACTGACACCCAAAATCCTATCCGACACCCCAACCAGAGAAAAAGAAAAAATGCGTCCGGAGGAAGCTCAGCTGCCGGAGGGACAACGACACCACCATGACAAAAACCTAAAATAAGCCGGTAAGCATGATTTTTCTTTTCGTTCGTCCTATTTTTTCGCTCTAGGTCATTTAGATTAACTCTAATGCAGGATAAGCCAAGGAAAGCCGCAACCCGAGAGAGAGAGAGACGGTGGAGCACGGCTGTGCCACGGCACAGGAAGCTGAAACTCGACTGGTAAGGCCGAAATTTCCCTCCTTTCTTTGTAAAACACTCTCCTCTCCATTATTTAATCTGATTGTCATCACAAGACCGCCAAGTTCGGCTTGGTCGAGAGAAAAGAGCGCCGAAGAAGGAGAACCAGACGGCGGAGCCTGGTGGTGCTGTAGTGTCGGAACCCCAACCTGACTCCGGTGAGTTTCTCTGCTCTTTTTCATCACTTTTTATATATTTTCATGCTGTTTTGATATGTGTTTCCTAATTTTACCAAAAAATTCAAGAAATCCGAAAGTTAGGAACCGCCGCGAGTAATGGTTGAAAAATGCGGTATTCTGACCTCCGACCTAATGTAAGAATCCTTCAACATTTTCCCTGTTATGGGTAAATTAAAGTTTAATCAATAATAAACGGAAAATTCTAAACAGTTTTGCGATTCCTTGATGTTTAAATAAAGATTGCCGATAGAGCCAATAATCGATTTGTTTATGTTCGTCACTAGTTTATTTGTGTTGTCTATTCGTTATTTTTATCTCTATTTTTATTTTATTTTAATTGCCTATTTTTATTTTATTTTATTTTCTCTTACTTTATTTTATCCGAATCTATCTCTTTTCAACTGACCTAATTCGTTCTCATTTTTCTTTCGCTATGTCAATTCAGAACCGATATACTAATCACGCACCTTGAATCGTGGAAGTTTACTTTATTGCACTTTATTTTCACATTCTGCTTTTGTTATTCATGTTATCGCAACGTGTGGTGTTTTTATTCTATTATGATATTTTATTTCACTTTTATTTAACGGTTTTATCCCTTAACAAATTTTAACGTATGAATTTTGTTTTCTTTTATTTTTGAAGTATAGATCCTGTGTGTTACTGGAGACTAGATAATAATGAAAAATACGCATGCATACACCAACGTTGTTGAATAAAAGGGTTTACCAGATATCATGGGAAAGAGTGTACGGACCTGATACATAAAGCGAACCCTACCGTAGACGTTACCTTCAACCGTATAGGGCTAGGAATTCTCTTACCGGACGAGATTGGGAGTTTATTAATTTCGCTCATATCGGACGAGGTATGAAAACAGTCTTTAGTTGTACCGCTCATTACTGATTAAAGTATGGGGACGGCCGATTAATTTACAAAAGAAGTGCATGTATCCACGCGTAGCGGGGATCCCTATGGCCCCCCAACAATACCAGTAGGGAAAAATAAAATGGTAGGGTAGAGACGGTTATGGTAAGTAACCCGACTTTGAGCAAAATAGTGAAGAACTCAACTTTACATGCCTATTGGAATGTATGTTATTTATGATTAACTTGTCATTCTAATTTTATCTTAATGTATGACGTTTGATAGCCTACTAGTTAGGAAAAAAAATAACAACGTTTTTAGTAAAACAGATAAGGAATGCATTAGCATTCGGGTTTTCTTAAAAGTATGTTTCATTGGTTATTTTATATTTTCTACAATCCTTTGATTTTCATGTCAATAGTAAAGTGTTGATATTTTTACTGAATTAGTATAGTTTACCTTTTTTTTATTAACCATTTCAGATCAAAATGACGAATATCCGGATCCCGAACAGCGAGAGACTAGCTAGGACATTATCTCTTTCCGCTCTGCCAAATTCGAATTGAGGTTAATAATTACTTTGTACTGATTTTCTTGTTTTAAGTTTTGAACATTCCTTTAACCCCTATTTGGGCATTTTAAGTAAA